CGATACTGTGGAGTGTTACTAAGGAAGGAATACTATGTTAAATGGAAAGGCATACTAGAAAACAAGGCTAGCTAGGAACCCACAAAAGCTTTGTGACAATTTACATAGAAGGTTGAAGAGTCTAATAAAGGTGCGATGAGAATGTTGTCGGATTAGGTGGGAAAGAATATTATGCCTTACACAAAAAGAGAAGTTTTTGGAGGTTAATTAAGAACACTAGATAAATCTAAAAGCATTTGAAAGATATTGGGGCATAAGAGAAACTTTTAAGTTCTCCAAGAAAAAATTAAATATATCCTAGAGAATTTTAGAAGATCCCTTGTTATTATAGCATGTATATATGTAGATAGTTCTTTGTAAATATCTAGATAGAAGAATTTTAGATACTAGATTATAGCCATTAGATTATATAGATCCTAACCATCCATTGAGGAGGTAGATAGACTATACATAGAAGAAACTTTCATTTGGCCAAACCATCTAAAAGATTCGTTCAAAAATTATAAACTAGAGTTGTAAGCTTTAGAAAGCAATACAAAGAGTTTGTATATTATCTAGATTGTTTGTCTTTCTTGCTTTACGACTTAATGTGGGAGAAAAACTAACTTGATTCGATTTAAAGGAAAAGTGAGTCAAGTATCGTACTAGAGGTTAGAAAAGCCAAGTTCGTAATGTTGAGCTTGATTAATGTTTAAATTATGGCACTTGGAGAAAAAGGTTTAACATATTGGATGAATATGATATGATTCAAATATGTAAGAAGTATATCATGCGTGTAAGCATGCGCGCGCGCGCGTGTGTGTGTGTGTAAGAACCATAATTGAAATTTCTAGATGAAAAAAGTAGAGAAGGCTTGCAAATTGAACACATACAATAATTTTTAGTCCCATTCATGGGGTTATGTTGTCATCGTTGGTGACAATCAAATTAATAATCCAGCGAGTTGACTTGAAAAATCCTTCGAATTGCGTATTATATTTGTTGATTTGCTACAAAGTTTTTACTACACGTAATATATACAACTAGATTAATTATCGAGTGTGTTAAGCACGGATAAACGCTAGTTACTTAATAAATTTATATCAAAATTTTAAATTCTTAGGTTTTCATTATTGATTTTTATTTGATTTGTTTAATTGGTCAAGAAAACATGTACACCGATAGTGGGTGATCTATATTACTTTTTTTCTTAATGCTATTACCAAAAATATCATCTATCCCTTTTAATTTTACTTCAAATGACAACTTCTAAAATCAATATAGCTTGTGACCATGATGAAAAGTAAAACTTCACTTACATCGGATTTTCATAGTTCTTTTTTTTTTTTCTAAATAATAGATGGTTATTTGGAAACATAAAATCATTAATTCATATTTTGTTTTAAAACGGAAGGATCCAAATTTCAAGATTGATTCTACAAACAAATATAGAAAAATTGTTAAATATGTCAAAAATTCTACTTTTTCTTGTTATAAAAACATAGGTTTTATGTTTTAATGTTTTTTTTTAGAGGAAGGAGTACAATATCCATAAAGTGAATAATTCCTCATAAATTAACATTAACAAAAACAATTAAAAGAATAGAGGTTGTGAGTATTCATTTTCTCACAAACCACTATTTAATTTGTGGTTTTTTGAAAAAAAAAATTTTGGACGATGGTATTTTCATAAATTTTTGGTTACTTTTGAGCATTCATGTACAAATTTTACATTATGTATCATTTTGATTCCTAATGTTTTCAAAAAATATTTTTGGTCCTTAGATGGACAATACTTGTCTCTCTCTTTTTTCTTCTTTTTTTTTTTTTGCAAGCAATTTTTTTTTATTAAATTGAGTACAAAAATTACAAAAAACCACTTGTTATTTTTATAGTTTTCCATGAACACACACACACACACACACACACACACACACACACACACACACACACATATATATATATATATATATATATATCGGATTATATTACTTTTATTTTTTAAAATTAATCTCTTCAATTTTTCATTTCTTATAAAATTTCTCTTCAAATTTATTTTTTATTCTTCTTTTTTATGTAATTTTATTTGTCAATAAATATAATTTATTTTGCTATGTGTATAGATTTTTGAATCATTTTTTTAAAATAAATAAATAATTATATTTTTTGGCCTTTTTTCCTCCAAATTTTTTTTTATTGAATTGAATGCAAAAGCTATAAAAAACTAATTGTTATTTTTTATAGTTTTTCATGAATATGTATATATCGAATTATATTACTATTATCATTTAATATTGATCTCTTCAATTTGTCATTTCTTATGAAATTTTTTTTCTAATTTATTTTTATATAATTTTATTTGTTAATAAATATAATTTATTTTCTTCTATGCATAGAGTTTTGAATAATTTAAAATAAATAAATAATTAATTAAAAATAGAATTCATGTATTTTATTTGCTTATTATTTACATAATCAAAATTTATCAAAATCAATTTTATGGTTATTTTTATTTTTATTATAATCTATTAACTTCAATATATTCCTTACAACTTAAGTTTTTTTTTAAAAAAATTTATTTGTACTATGCATTCTAACCCCACCAAATATGGTCATGATGTATATAAAAAAATAATAAAAATCATTGGTTTTATCGAAATTAACTTTACATCTACACACATAATATTAATACCAATCATATGTTATTAATTTTTTTAAAAAATTAAAATTGATTTTTTTAAAATAAAATAAGTTAAATAATATTTTAAAAGAACCACCTAATAATTCAAATACTATTTTTATACTAATACTATTGATTATTTTGTAAATAAATAAATATAAATCAAATATACATATTTAAAAAAAAAGTTAATCTTCTCATCAATAGTAAAGGAAAATAAAAAACATATTTATTTGTTAAATTTTTATATTAATTGTTATTTTATTTTTGATGTAATCTTATGAAAAAAATTATTAAGATATTTTTTTAAAATTTTATATTAAATTTTCTATTTGGATTATTTCATGTTTTTATTAAAGAATAAATGCATAAAGAAGAATAAATCGTATTTTGTTAACTACAAAATTTATGACAAAAAAAGATTAAATAAAAAATTTTAATTAAAAATTATAAAATTAAATGATTTTTTTTCTTTTAATCTTATATATTTTAATTAATTGATAATATAATACACGTTATAAATTAAAATAAATTTATTTTGTTCAGTTATGATGAAAATTATGAAACAACGTGTGGAGTATGATATAGAAATGGGCGTCAGCCCAATATATATTGTGGGCTTTAAGAACGAAACAATGGTCCCATGATTATTCATTTATAAAATCAGAGGCCAGAGGGAGACGTTAGGGTTCTTGTTCATAGTCCCTGAAAAAACCAAGAACGAACTAAATCATCATCATCTAATCCTTATCGTCTGCAACTGAAAAGGTATTTAATTTATTGAGTTTTTGCCTCTTTTTTTACTAATTTCTCCATTTGCATTTCATTCCTTTTCGACCTACGAATTGTAATTGTTTCGTCTTGTACTTTTCATAATCTATTTTGTTTTTCAAGTTCTATGTTTGTTTAAATATTGTTAGAATTAGATTAATTTTTGGTTTTAAATTTTCTAATAAACAATAGAATTAAATTCGACAAGTTTTTAGACTTATAATTGCAATGCATGGAATGTGTAGGGAATTAGTTTAGTATTGGTATGCCCAATTTTTATCTTGCTTGGCGTCGTTTTGGTGAAGATGAAACGGAGGGAAATGGGGTTGTTCCTTTTTATTGTGTATGTGCTTGATGTGCCGTCTTTGTTTCCTTCGACCAAAACTGCATAAAGTGATTCAACCTGGCATTAGACTTTGTTAGGATGTAAGTTCAGAAAAAATTGCGTGCACATCACATGCAGAAACTACTGTGTTGTGTTGATAATCTGTAAGATCACTGAAATAGTTGAATGAGGATGCATTGTTCATATTGTACCTGCATGACATGAAAAAGTAATCCAATCACCAATTTGGATGAAAGTTGATGTGTGCTCGAATGACATAATGTCTAAACTTTATACGTTGGCAATGAGAAGAGTCACTTATATCCTTGAAAACCTTCTGGCTTTTGTTTTCAAATATTATAGAAGGTCACTGCAATTGCGCTCTTACTCTTTTTCCTCTAATTCCTGACACGTGACCAATATATAGTTTGTCTGGGGATATTCAATAACAGTGTTTGTACCTGTATACAATTCAATGTGCTTTGACATTTTTTTCCTTCTGGCCAAAATCTTTGCTTGGATATCTTCTGATCTGTGTTCTTTTAGAGGCTTTGTTTTTTGTTAAATCGTTTCGTAGTGTGGTTTGAGATTTCAAGTAGACCTACCTTGAAATTGGCAACCTTAATCATTTATTGGTTGGTAAGTTCATCTCCAACATATTGTTGTGCCTTTTGCTCCTTTAGTAACCTCTTTAAGTTTGAAAGGTTCCTCTGCAGTCTTGTTCAAATGCCGCTGTTGTTTTCTAGATAAAATTGTATCATCATGAATCGATACGTAGAATATGTTTCAATGAATTTCTCATGGGAATGATACAACATCGTGTGAAATGTTGTATGAAGGAAACCTAACTGTTGCAATTCTACATTTTGAATGCTTGCTTCTGTAATTATGTGTAGCCTGTCTTAACCCAGGTGGTCCACTGGGATACTACATGAAGGGCTGGTCTAGTGGTTGAAATGTGATGACGTACATAGTGAATAATTGCATGATTAAAAATGCTAAAAATCTTTTAAAACAGGTAAGAAACTTAAAATGAATAGTAAAATTGGTCCAGAGGATAAAGAAAATTGAGGAAGGTGATGAGCCCCAAGGATGGTAGGAATCTGAGCTACGAATTCCCCAACAATAAGTGTATTTTTCATCTAGTTTTGTTTATTTCACTTGAAATTGGGCACTGCTTGTATTCTTTTTGATCTTTTTGTGCATTCTCTAGAAATCCACGAAGCACCTCGCCTTTGATCAGTGATGGCTAATTCCGAGCAAGTTGTAGAAAATGATGCTGGACCCTCTCTGATAGAACAGCTTGGGAGGGTGTTACATGAGCTGGAAGCTTGCAAGGATTCTTCTGAGGACAAGGTTCAGTGGACAGAAATTGAAGAACATTTCCGCAACCTTGAGACTGTGTTAAAGAAAAAATCTGAAGAGTTAGAAGCTAGGGAGAAAGAATATGAAGAGAAAGGAGCTGAAACGCGTGCATTGCTTGCAGAGAGAGAGGCAGCTGTTGTTGCTAAGGAACTAGAACTCCTAGATCGAGTACAGGAGCTAAAAGATGCTGCTGTTTCTGTCATCGCAGAGGCGCGAGCTAATCACCAGCCTGGCTCTTTGGAGTGCATTGATGGTGGAGACAACATAGACAGCAAGGTAAGCAGCTCTCTTGCTGAAATAAATTCCCCAGAGGAGTATTCTCCTCAAAAAATGGGTGAAAATGCTGGTGTGGCTGCTGATGTCAAGCCACGTCCAGAGCTAACGCAATTTTGCAAGCAGATGGATGCAAAAGGGCTTCTAAGTTTTGCCATGGAGAATCAAAAAAATTTATATGCCATTCGTGATGAACTTTCTGTTGCACTAGAAAATGCAACTGAACCAGCCCGTTTGGTGCTGGATTCACTAGAGGGGTTTTATCCTCCTGTTGAGACTACCCAACAAATGGATAAGAGGGATGCTGCCCTTCAGGGCATGCGCAAATCCTGTGTTATATTTATGGAAGCCATGGCTGCCTTATTGGCAAGAATTGACCCAGGTGCTGATCACCTTCTAAACCTTGAAATAAAGCAGCAAGCCAAGGCATTTGCTGATGAATGGAAGCCTAAGTTGGCTAGTGCGGGCACTGATGCTACCAATGGAAATCCATTGGAAGCAGAAGCATTCTTGCAGCTCCTTTCAACTTTTAGAATTGCTTCGGAGTTTGATGAAGAAGAACTCTGCAAGCTTGTTCTTGTAATTGCTCAGCGCAGGCAAGCACCTGAGCTCTGCCGTTCTCTTGGTTTAACACACAAAATACCAGGTTGGTATTCTTTTAATCAACTGACCTGAGGAGCCTGGAGACTAGACCATTGTTTCCGTAGGATGTTTCTTATTCTTGATTCCTTTAGGACATTGGTAGTACTCTAATTATTGGCCAAATACGGACTCTTGCAATCAGTTTAACTCTGACATGCTAATTGGATTATTAAATTGTTTGGTCTTGGATTTACTAAGCCTACATTATCTGTGCAGGTGTTGTTGAGTCATTGCTCAACAATGGGAAACAAATTGATGCTGTACGATTTATTCATGCCTTCCAGCTTACTGAAAGTTTCCCTCCTGTTCCCCTTCTGAAGACATACTTAAAGGATTTGAGAAGAAACTCACAGAACACACAAAGAAAGGGTGGAAACTCAGGAAGTGGTGCAGATGTACAGGTACATTCTGTGTGTAGAAAAAAAAAAAAAAGGGAAGTAATGAATGTTGCTAGGATATTTCAACAGAATGAAATTTTCTTACGACTTGCTCTTCCTACGCAGATTGATGGAAATGCCCTAGAGCTTGCAGCCCTGAAGGTTGTCATCAGGTGTGTTGAAGAGTACAAGCTTGAAGCTGACTACCCACTTGATCCACTTCAGAAAAGGCTTGCTCAATTGGAGAAGTCAAAATCTGATAAGAAGAGAGCGGGTGGTGATTATGGTAAACATTACCAATCGAAGAAACCAAAACCTAATCGAGGTTATCGTGGATTCCGAGGTGCTGCCACTCTTCCTGCTGGTGGTTGGCAAGCTCCACCTGCTTTTGTTGAGAGGACATCATACACTGGAATGCCGGCTGAGAGGTATCCTCTAGCTGTTCCAAACCCCTATGAGTATCAAGGTCCTAACCAATCTGCATATGGTCAGCAAGCTAATGATCAAAGGATGTACTACAATCCTCAGGACGCCTCCTCTTACAGTGCAGCTCCAAATTATGGCAGTTACATGGGTGCTGGAATGCGATCGTCACACCAACCATATATGTAGTAGGCTCATAAGTTTTTTTTTTTTTTTTTTGTAAGAAAGTTGGTTAGTGATGCAGAATTAATTCTTGTAATGTTCTTTGTGCATGTATTATCCTTCCATATTCTGTTAGTAAATGCAAAGCTTTAACAACAATGTAGTTGGTAGATGAAATCATCTCTCTGAACCATGCAAGTAAGAATTGCATCAGTTTTATTCATGAGGCATCTTCACGTCGTGCTAGTGGACTCATCTCAGTATGCTACTAATTTCTATTCCATGTAGTCTCCTTTTCTTTTTCAAGCAGTTTTTGGATCTTAATGATAAAGCGTGTCTTTAGGCTAGCTTTGGTGAATGAAACAAGATACATACATACAAGACTTCAAAAATCATTTTATCTTTTGTTTAAATTTTCTTGTTGCCGCTTTTAGAGGATTTGAACCTCAAGAAACATCCATGACGATATCAACTTCTTATAATATATTTCAGTATCTCGAAGCTTTACATTCAGCATCTTATTGTCATTTTAGTTTGGTATTAACATTGTCAAAATCTCCCCTCCTACATATAATAATAATAAAAAAAAAAAAACAATCTAACTACATTTTCAACTTGCAAAATAGTGATACCAATCAATTAAATGACATAAATTGCAATCATGTTAGTGAAATTGAAAATAAAATACCTTACAATTTGGACAATTCAAGAACCTTCTACTTGGATTATGTAGGTCTAGCTAGTCCTCATTCATGCTCTTTTTCTATAATTGCAAAAAGATCTTACTCCAAATACTCAAATAGCTCTATTAACATCACCGTCATCTTCAATTTGTAATTTTTTATTTGTTCTATTTTTTGTTCCCTTGTTTTCTTTTTGATCTCAAACTGTAGGTTAGATAGATGAAGATAGGTTTTAAGTTATCTAAAATTAGAGAGCTAACAAGGAGGAGTAAATTTGACATTAAAATTATGTTTCAAGTCAAATTAAAACTTCATTTCATGGCTAAAAATAAAAAGAGATAACGAACACGTGAAAAATCACGTGCGAAACTTGATAGATCTGTTAACTGCCATACAACGAAAATGGTTTACACCATATCGGGATAACTTTGTCTCGTTCTAAAATGTTTGGGTTAAAACTAACACATTTAAAAGTTTGAGACCGAGGGCAAATTTGAGGTTTCCCCTAATTTCTTTCTTATTAAAAAAAAGTAGTAAGTTGTCTAACGCATAAGGATTGTCATTTCCTAAATCTAAGTTCTTAAAATATCAAAAAAGTTGTTGATCGAGACATTTCCATCCATAGCAGATCCAACTTTGAACTTACTTGAAATTTGGATTAAAGAAATCCAGAAGGAAAACGGAGCGTCAACTGCAATAGACAGCTCCTCTGTACCAGACTGACCAGTTTTTGAAGGTTAAATAAAATACCAAAATAATACTTATTTCAATCTCTTCCTTCCTTCGCCCTCTCGAGTCTCTAGACCTGGTGCCATATTCTTCACTCGTTTCCACCTCAGCCTTCCACTCACTCATGGCACCGCTGATTCAACTCACCACTCTTTTTATTCAGTTTTGTTATTACACCACCATCGCACACGGAGTCTCTTCCAATGCAACCACCTTCCTCATCGGCACTTCCCGCTCTGCCATGATGTTACCTCTCTTTCTATCTCCTCTGAATTCCTCTACAAGATTCTCCAATACGCGTCACCTTCTCCAGAGATCCAATGCTAATGCTCTACCTAACGCTCGCATGCGACTCCACGATGATCTCCTTATCAACGGGTAATCACGTTGATTATATTCTGTTACTAGTAACGCAATCTTTTTTTTTGTTCGTTTGATAATTTGGTGGTTCTTAAAAGGTATTATACAACGAGGTTATGGATCGGGACGCCGCCTCAGAGATTTGCGCTTATTGTTGATACCGGCAGTACTGTTACTTATGTACCCTGTTCTTCTTGTGAGCGGTGCGGCAGGCACCAGGTGATTTAGTTATTTATTATTGTTAGAATTTGAATATAGAGGCACAGTGCAGTCCTATGGTGTAATCAGTTGAGATAAATGCAAGAAATTTTTAAGGACATTTAAACATCTTCACGGTTGTTGTGGGATAGGATAGGATGCTTTCCTCTATTTTCATTTGCTTTCTTTTTTGGAGGACGATCTATTTTCCAACATGCTTCAGTAATTCTTTCAACTCGTTAATATAATTTTCTTTATCTGAAAAAAAAAGAAAGAAAAAACCTAGAAATTTATGGTGGAAGGCTGAAAATATTCCATCTATTTTAATACTTTTGCAATAAGCTACTATTCCTATCTTATACAAGTTAAATATCAGTGATTCTTATGTATAGTGAGATAGAATATCATAAGTGAGTCGTGGTCAGTTAACTACGCTGTATGCATTCTAATTTCAAGCTTGACCGAGTCTCAAATGAATTTTTTTCTTTGCTATTCTTGTTATCTTTCGTCAGGATCCAAAGTTTCAACCAGATTTGTCAAGCACTTACCAACCTTTAAAGTGTAATATAGATTGCAATTGCGATGATGAAAAGGAACAATGTGTTTATGAGAGGCAATATGCTGAAATGAGTACTAGCAGTGGCGTTCTTGGTGAGGACATCCTATCCTTTGGCAGTCTAAGTGAACTTGCTCCTCAGCGTGCTGTTTTTGGCTGTGAAAATATGGAAACTGGTGACCTATACAGTCAGCATGCTGATGGCATAATGGGATTGGGTCGTGGTGATCTTAGCATTGTGGATCAACTTGTTGATAAAGGTGTAATTAATGATTCATTCTCATTATGTTATGGTGGAATGGATATTGGTGGAGGTGCGATGGTATTTGGTGATATATCTCCCCCTTCAGACATGGTTTTTAGCCAGTCTGACCCAGTGCGCAGGTGTGTTGTTAAAGGTTTTTTTTCTTAGAGGTATAACACTTCTTGAACTTTCCTAACAAGTACATTTGGCACTTCTCGCATATTTACTCTAGTTTCGGGATGGAAACAGTCCATATTACAACATTGATCTGAAGGAGATACATGTTGCGGGAAAGCCATTGCTTCTAAACCCTAGAGTGTTTGATGGGAAACATGGAACTGTCCTGGATAGTGGTACAACATATGCTTACCTACCTGAAGCAGCATTCATGGCATTTAAGGATGCTGTAAGCTCAAGTTTCTTCATTTTCACCCTGGATTTCTTTTTTGGTTTTTCTTTTTGTATGGAATTTTGGTGGAACTTTTTTTCAAAACAACATTTTGTTGGAGAATCATTTTTCTCTACACTAAATAACATGATAAGGTTGAATGAACTGCCTTCTATTCCTCCTTGACTTTGTTAATGAATGATGCATTTTGAGTGGAATTCAAAAAAAGATATCAAGTATTTGCATCTATCTAATATTATGGGAATATATATCACCATAAGTGGTGCAGCCAAAGAATCTGAATTATGTTTTTTTAGTTCTGTGTTTCTTTTAAAATTAGACTATTTAGGAATTTGTTTTATCCTAAGTTGTCCTACATCAATAATTCCTCATATAAGAATAAGTTTTGACCAAGGACCAGGATATGCTTGTTGCATTTGTTGTCTCTTCCAAACATTTAAGGTGGATCTAAGTTTATCATAATTATGCTTATATTTTTTTTCCCTTGTATTTCAACGAATGATTGCTAAGCATTTACTTTAATTCTCATCTTATTTCTTTCTGCACTGCTTTTACTGAAATAAGGAGATCAGTTTAATCAACTATTACTGATATAGTGTATCAATTTGTAATTCCGTGTTCTTGTAGTTGTACCTAATATTTTGTTCTTTGTTGCTATCTTTTGAATTGGGCTTGCAGATTACAAAGGAGCTTGGTTCCTTAAAGCCCATCCGCGGCCCTGATCCAAACTATAATGATATTTGCTTTTCTGGTGCTGCAAGGTACTTCATTTAGATCTATAGAAGGTTGCAGGCTGAGTCCATCAGCAGATCATTTGTCATCACTATTGTGCAATTGATAGTTGTAAATATTTTTTTCTTCAGTGATGTTTCCCAACTGTCCAGCTCCTTTCCAGTGGTTGAGATGGTATTTGGAAATGGGCAAAAGTTGTTTCTATCGCCAGAAAATTACTTATTTCGAGTGAGTAATTGGCCTTTCTAGAATTTTTGAAAGAGAAGAGGTGGGACAGATAAATATTTATCCAGTAAATAAATTGCATTTTTTTTGCCTGATCTCACTCACTGTTATTTTATTTTAATTACTGATTAAGCCATTTTCATTCTATTCACATGTATTTTCCCAGCATTCAAAAGTTCGTGGTGCATATTGCTTGGGTGTATTCCAAAATGGAAAGGATCCAACCACTCTTCTAGGAGGTATGCAAATTTTGGTGATTTATCATATTATGCTTTCTTTCTGCAAATGTGCCCTTTTATTGTCTGTGGCAATATGCTGCAAGCCTGCAATGTCTTTTTGATGGATTTTGCTAGTCCTGACTTGCTTTGGATTGTGAACATTTGCTTGTAACAGGAATTGTCGTTCGTAATACTCTTGTCTTGTATGATCGTGAAAATTCAAAAATTGGTTTTTGGAAGACCAATTGTTCAGAGTTATGGAAAAGACTTCATGTAGATGGTGCGCTGCCACCAGTACCTTCATCTTCAAATGGAATTAACTCAAAAACAGACATGCTGCCTTCCATGGCTCCTAGTGACCGACCACATTATGATCTTCCAGGTATGACAAGTTGTAGGCCTTTGAGCAACTCCTATATTGTCAATAAACTTGAAATCATTGTATGAACATATGCCTTTTCCATGCACACAACAGATTAGAACTACTTTAACTCTAGTAGCTTAAGTAACATTAACTTTCATGAGGTGTTTAACATCCTAGCGCTTGAGCAAGTTTCAATAATGTGAGTTTCAGATGAAATGAAACTTTTCCTGCAAAACCATGTATAGTTATTACCCTTTGGTCAATTTCAAACACATTCAAATTTCTTGAATAATTTTCAAGCTCTTTTTCAATAAGCCAGTTCAACTCAGGCATTTTGATTTGTCACAGAGAGTTGTTCATCTGTTTTCTTCTTGCACCAGATTCCTCAGAGAGTAAAAATAGATGAACTTGTAGGTTTAATGGACAATATATTCTTACAACCAATGTAGCATAACTTGTGAGTGTCTTTGAGTTATTTAAAATGTTATTTTTCACAGTTTAGTTCTAAGACAACGTTATGCCTATGAAATTGGTTTGACAACAATGTTGTAAACATCTTCTTTGAGTTCTAATTCAGTTTTTGTTTCAAATTGAGTCATGATCAATGAGAGGAAATCCTGTGTCTTTGAGTTATATTTCAAAAATTGCTTTTCATAATTCATTTCTAAGAAAATATATTTGACATCAAAGCCTTTTTTTTTAGTCATGATTTAGATTTTGTTCCAAATTTAGGCATGGTCAGAAGAAGAGATTATGTTGTTGTCGCTCTAATTTTTACATGAATCCATAACCATATATAAAAGCACAAACTTCTTAACAACTTTAAATTAACTATTATTCCCTTAGTATACAATTCTAATATTATAAAATAATCTAATATTAAAATGTAAATTTAAACTCACCTCTAATTAAGAAAAAAAGACTAACATCAATGAAATTCCTTAAAAAGTTACTAATTCTTAAAAATAGGCTAATTCTGTTTTTTCATTATTTTCCTAAATAAACTTCCTAAATCAGTCCTAACTTATTTAATACCTTATTGGAATTTTATTTTGACTATCAAGACTCAAAATCTTTAAAAAACAAGCCAAAAAAAACCCGATAAAATTAAAATCCTAAAATAATATAATTTCATCATAATTCATCAAATTATTAAGTTGGATCCTTAGTTGTTTTTTATACGGCATTTTTTTGTCATTGTTTTACATTATTTTGACTCCTCTGGACATGGAATTCTTAATATTTACATCATTCTTCTGAAAAGTTTTGCTAATATTAAAATAATAATAATAATACTCTTTTTGTCTCGAAGAGATTGTTTTCTTTGATTTTTCATACATATTAAAAAGATTATTAATTGTTATGTTATATAAACATGTTTTTATCATTTTTTTTTTTTAAAGAATTGCATTTGGACAATCTTTTACAAAATGAATTTTAATTAGGAGTATTTTAGAAAAATACACCACTTAAAGTTTTGACTAGATAAGTGTTTTGGGACCGATATAAATAAAAAGGTAAACGATCTTTCTAGAGGGAATAATAATAAAAAAGATTCATATGCAGCATTAATAGATTTCATTTTAACGAAGAGCTTTTTGGATAGAATAATTCAAAACTATGTGGTACAAAAACATTGCAATTTCGTAATATAAGTGTAAATTTTAGTACCTGACATTTGATGATCTAATTCATTTTTGTAACATATTCATCATATAATCAAACTAACTTAGACGTTAAAATTAAAATGGCAAAATAATTTTTTATAATAAAAGATAAAACTCATTTTCTCTTTTTATTCTTTTTATATATGTTTGAAAGAAAAAGATGGAACTTACAACAATATGAAACAAAAAATATTATATTAATTTCTATTTATATATTAATAAATAAATTAGTGCAAATCTATTAGTGATTATTATTTTGTAAAGTTCTTAATTGTGAAATACCCCACTACTAACTGGTAAATTTGGAAGATAATTGAGGTTTATGTCCCTAATTTTTATTTCAGTGTAGTGATAATTATTAAAAATCAAACAAATTATAAATTATCCAACTTTATATAAAATTATTTAGATTTTTAAATCAAACATTTTAATTTAATAAATATTCAATTCCATTCATTTATAAATAATTTCATCAAATCTATTCAAGATTAGGAAAAAAAAAAAAGTAGAATAATACGTTTGCAAAGCATATGCCAAAAAGCTAGTGTAGTCAAATTGCTTCGCAAGTTCAATAGTTGAAATCTTGTTTCTGGACTCATATTTTTTGCTCAAACGAACTTCAAAATGCACTATAGGTTCTTTGCTTTCTTACATAATATTTGGAACATGAGGAAATAAGTTCCATACCATGAAATATTTCTTTGAATTGGGCCGACTGTGAAACATAAAAGAACAGTTATAGGGAATGTAACTTTCCCAAGTTCAAAGCATGTGCTCTAAATCTTCAATCTATCTTTTTGGTTGAGACGAATCAAGTTCCTTGAGTCTCAAGTTATGCTCAATACACCTGTTGCCTCTTCAACCGATCATGTTTCCTCTTTTAGCCTGTTATGATAGCTCAATCAAGTTGCTTTCCGATCATATTTAACCATTTACTTTAATGCACAGATGAAGAGCAGATTGGACAAATAACTTTTGAAATGACATTGAATGTCAACTACTCAGACTTGAAGCTTCACATTTCAGAACTTACTGAATTTATTGGTCAGGACTTAGGCATTAACAGTTCACAGGTTTGACAAGTTTTGTATTTGGAATGCAATGCAGTTTATATTGCAGCATTTGATCTATATGCAAATCATATTGGACTTCATAATCATCTTCTCGATTGGGGAAGGGAAGTTAAAAAGCAACCTCGTAATTAATACTGGCTATGATGAAGTTTACTTTAGAAGGCCAATAATTGTAGGTGCATGATTTCAGGTCCATTTACTGAATTCTAAGGAAAAGGGAAATGATTCGTTCATCAGATGGGCTGTATTCCCTTCAGGATCTGATGAATGCATTTCTAATGCCACTGCTCTTGTAAGTTCGTTTTCATGTTAGTGCAGCTACTGACTATACCAAGAAAATAGAACTGTTTGCTTGATGTTTTTGTTTTTTCCCAGAGTATAATTGCCCGTGTTGCTGAACATCGCTTGCGACTTCCTGATACATTTGGAAGTTATTATTCGATTAACTGGAACATCAAGGCTGCAAAACGGTAGGTTGTTTTTCACTTTGTCAGAATCTATTTTCTGCATTATTTTTATTTTTTAACTGGGTTCATTTAAGTGGCTTTTGCTCAACTTACCATGTTATGTAGCATTGAGTTGTATCCCTGTATATAAAATTATTTCATGGTTATAGAAGATGCATATATTTTCACTTGAAGGTTATTTAAAAAAAAATTAAAAATAAATAAAAATAAAGTTATGCTCACTTCTCATTTATAAACTACTGTCAATATGGAAGTTGCTAAACCTCACATTGCTTGCTTCTTTCTCTCTCGCTATTGTTGGTTTCTCTTTCCCCTCTAGTGGTTGCTTTTAGCTTTTAGGCCATATTACTTTTTGATATGGCTCAAGCCTCGTAGCATTATGTGAACAGTGTAATCTTATCGTATTATGCAGGACATGGTGGCAGCAACATTTTTTATTGGTGGCTTTAGCCATTGTTGTTACATTTGTTTTCGGATTATCAGCTCTTGGAATATGGTTTATTTGGAAACACAGACAACAAACATTGAATGCATACAAACCAGTTGATGCAGTAGTTCCTGAGCAAGAACTACAGCCATTGTAGGCTTCTCCAGGGTTGATGAATTGTTATTTATGGTGCTGAAGTGTGTAAGATTTGGCATTTTTTGACTCAGAAGCTGTAAATCTACAACCCGAGCGACCAAATTGATCAGGATTATGTCCATTGATACAAATGGCCCTTTCAAATGCTATATTGAGTTATGCAGTGCATAGGAGGTGTTGAAAGATTAGCGCGCAGTCGAAATTTTGTATTTTAACACACAAGTGAATCAAAACTTGCTTGATAATGCCACTACACAAACCTTTTTCTTTGCTTGTTTTCTTTTATTTCCTGTAGTTTTGTGCTACTCATTCATTACTACTAGCTGCCAGCCTAGTCAATTTGATGATTTCTTTCTTCTTTTTGTTTCTTTTTGTTTTTCCCCCAATTTGCCATGCAGTTAGACCAGCGTCTATTGAGCATGAGGATGTTAGGTGATAGCTAGTAAGCCTTTCGAGCTTTGGGAGGGAGGTGATAAAAAAAAATGATTCAAGCTTAGTGCAGTGCCAAATTATTCCACAACTTAGTGCTGAACACGTTATGGACCGAGTGGGTCAAAAGATAAATAGTTAAGACTTTGCAATTACTAGAGCGAACAGGTCATTTGGGAATTTAAATAGGAGTAATACACATCCATCACGCATGCCTTAATTTGAACTTGATTGGTTCCCCACAATCAGATTCAGAGAAGTCTCTTGCAAATTGTGAAGTTGACATTCCGAGGAGTTTCCCACTGTTTTCCTGTGCTATAGTTGAAGAATCTAATATTTCATGGTCAAACAGGATTGCGAGGGATAAAGTCCTAAGGTCCTAGGAATCATGCATAAAGTAAAATTATACTAGTAATTCTTTTTTATAACTTTAATAAGGCACGTCTTAAGTTATGTCATTCTTTTGCGTACATTTGGTTCATCCGTTCATGTGCAGTAAAAATGTAACTATTGTGAAAACTAATTATATATTTGTCAACATTTTATTTCAACTTTAACATGTCTTCTTTCCATAATTTTACGAAGAGTCCCAAACACAACCGTTAACCTAACAAACAAAGATTAATACTGATGAGGTCGTAGATCTTCAATTGGATGAACGGTTGGATTGGTTTTTCCTTGGGCTGATCGGGCAGCGATAGTGTATTATTGATGAAGTCTTGGTGTAGGTACTCGTAAAACAAAGTTCTTTTTTTTTTTTTTCCTAAAGGATCCTTTGACGGGCTAAATTAGTATATAGAGAGAGTTCAATATAGCCTTGTTAGGCTGAGATGTATATCTTTATTTATATAGTCTGAGTAGACTTGTGTGAATTGTTTGTCTATATGAGATAGAGACTATATAGAGGGATTGTTTAGCTTCCTATTGTTTTTATTTATTTATTTATTTATTTTGCTGCCTTTTGATTTCTCTATACGCTTGGCGGTTCCTGTTTGCCTCTTTGGTTGCTTAGCCCTTTTGTGTTTAGAGTTCTTTTTATAGTGGGTGCTAGAATTGGCTTGCATGGAGCTTGGGGGAATATTCTTTTTTTTTTTTTTCAGAAAATAAGGGTAAAATAGGTCTCATCCTTATTGCTTAATGGCTTTTGACCAGTATAATGATCCTCCCAGGAGAATGTCTCTTGTTGGCTTGAGTTGTGTCATTTCAGAAGTTAACATGTGGGACGATGTTTCTCATTTAAAGCTTGTACTTTTTTTTTCAGTGGAGGAGCAAATTGGACCTAGAGGTTGATGGTGATGCAGGAGCGAGTGAATCCCTGTTCGTAGGAGTCTCTCGTTATTCAAGGTCTTGTATAGTTGTGCTTGTAGTAGATAGGTTTCATTATTGTAATTGGATGAGGGAAACGTGATGAGAGTTTTTTTTTTTTTTTTTGAATATACCAGTAAATCTCTTGAGTCTTGGGCAAGTGGATCTTGTGAAAAAGTCAATTTTTGTTCGAGGGATGTTTTGATGGTCTAGTTTTGTCCTTTCTTTCGACAATCCTTGGTGAAATCTATCTTTTAAACATCCTCTGTCCTGGATAATTTGCTGGCAAAATTGTTAGGGGCATAACGTCTGCTGTCCAGGGTGGTCTTCAGCAAAATTATTGTTGTGCAATGCTTGCCTTCTTTGGCACAATCCTTGGCAAATTTTATTTATTAGCATCCACCATCCTTGATGCTCTGTGGAGAATGTAAATGATTATACCCTCAAACACTACAAAAAAACTAAGACTTTAGCGATGAATTTTCTCATTGCTAAACCTATATATTTCGTCAGCATTTTACTTTAGTGATAGAATGATGACAAAACAAATTCGTCGAAAAAGTACTTGTTGCTAATAATTATAGCAATGGAAGTTAGAATTCATTCCCAATGTAGTCACGAACAAGATGTCGCAATACCGTAGTTTATTTGTCATTAATATGATGAAATTAGTGACGAATATGTTGTCCTTATACAAACTTTTATCCATTGCTAATATGATGGCAAATCACCGACAAAAAATTTTTCATTGGTGAATTTTTTCGTAGTTAATTTGTCTCCATTTGATCGGTAATATATTGACGGTTTACGTAATTGTCCATCGATAGTTGATGTAATTTTTTTTTTTTTACATTGCAAGTCGGTCGTTGTTTCGTTACTAATGTAAGAAATGTATTTTCTTAATTCGTTATTAATGGTTTAATATTTAATTATAGTAGCAAACAAGTAAAATAAAATTATAACACGTAATATTATTGTGTAAAATAAAAATAATATAAAATCAAATGAAATATGTATATAAATATGTTCTAGTGTATAAAAATAATAAAAAAATTAATAAAAAAAACCTAATAAAGGGGTGTCATCATCGGCATTTGTCAAGCTGTTGCGTAGGGGATGTTAAAAGGAGGAAAATGAGGGTTAATGAGAGTTTGCTTCTCTCGTAATAGCTGCTACATCATATGCATCTACTACTCATGATAGTGTGCCACCTCTCATTGCTCTTGTCGAAGTTTTTCCTTTATCTCTTACATCCGTTGAGCTAAGTCATGCTTCATTTTTGTTCGGAGGTGTCTTTGTCGATCGCTTATCATCTTGTTACGCACCACAATGGAATCGCGATGTGATAGATAATGAGTTAACATCAAAAAGAGAGTAATACTAGGATGCTTATGATCCAAAGTCGTACACTTTATGCTTCTTCTCTCCTACAATCTTAAGATATTTGGGCTATGTCGACGTCTAACGACGATGAAGAATCTCCGACACCTAACTAGCAGCCTACCTCACGCACCGATTCCACACACTTCTACGTAATTATAAAAATTATAATATTAAATAATAAATTTAATTTTTAGATTAAATTGGCATAGTATAATTACAAAGATAAAACTCTTACCTTAACTATCTCGGATCGTGTATCAACGAATGATCCATCCATTCGTCCGTGAGTCCTCATGAAACACTCAAAAGGATTTGGGTCATGACCTAACCCCTCGAGCATGAAAAAAATTGACATAAATAATATGAAATGTGATAACTATAAATAATAATTTATAACATAATGGATAATATGATTTACCATTAGTGTAGCATGTTGAACTAGTTAGATGGAACCCCTCATATGTCTAGATGGGCTAGCGTTGGTGCCACCCATCTCGCTCATGTGGTTCTAGACTACTTGCTCAAAATGGGCCTAAAACTCGAGTGTGGCCTATTGTTGTTGCCATCCATCCCACACTTGCTTTGGGATAGACAAGGGTTTGGTTCCCTTCCTCTTATAGCTAATCAACATGTTGGCACACCATTTGCGTGCCTAATGCTCCCATGCTACAATAACCATCGCATCAATGGCATCCTCCCGTATAAAGTACTTCGCAATAAGGGAAAAAAAATAGTAGTATATTTTATGTTAGATTTACTGAAATAATTTAAAAGTAATATAAATAATAAATAATATGTTACCTTAAACTCATTTTGATTTCTTGAGAGACTAACTTCCACGTAGAGCCGAAGGAGTCCAATTTGTTCTTTGAAAATGACGGTGATCTGCTAAGAGCATTTACTAGATGGATTCAAACTATCAAATACGAATAATAAAAAAAACAATAAGTGAATTCATGAACAAAATAACATACCCAAATATAAAAATTAATTACGAACTATAAAGTATAAACAATACTATTTATATTGGTATGCATAATACATACTCTTATTAACGACATCAATGGTCCGATCGAGCATCATTCTTAAAACCGATGTTTGGAGTAGAAGATACCGTTGAGGCAATTATAAGGGCATCTTATCTTACTTTCGTTTATACATTCGGGATGACTAATAACACATGTAACAAATTCTTCAACGTCATTTATGAAATCCTGCTTTAAAATTTCTTTGGTAAGCCTAAAATCTATCCATGCATGATCCAACCTCATTTTTTTTCCTACATATCCAAGCCAACACAATTATTTAATTACCATTTTTTCTAAAAATGTAACAAAAGTTTGGCAAAGGCTCTCCTGTAAATTGGACATTTTCCAATTATCGAAGACTTTACCTATATAGAAAATAATATATTTAAAATACACAACACATATACCAAACATGCATAATAGGCAAAATTAGCAAAACTTGCAAAATTCACATATTCAAGTAATCATCATCAAACAAACATCAAACAATAAAAAATCCATTAATTGACGAGTCCAAACATATATAATCAAGAACATTTAGTCAATCACAACCAAGCAACCAAATCAATCAGCTTGCACACATTGAAACTAGCACTTGTCTCGAATAATCTAATTAAATTAAAACTCAATCTTCGTACTCTCAACTCAATCGCAAAGCATTAACGTTGTCTTAATGCTCCTCAATTCTGAGGCTCTTCAACCTTTCGGGTTCAATAAGTTATAATGTATCTCGACACACTTTAACAATATCAATAAATTCAATTCAATTTCAATTTGCATAATCAACTAAAAACTACTTTACAAGCATAAATTACAAATTATAATTTCGATAACATACCCGAAAATTTAGAGTGGTTGGAAAAAAAATTTGGTGGTTGGAGCGTGACTCGTGGTGGTTGTCAATAATGCTAAAGTGGTTAGAGTGATCGTCACCAATGCTACAAATCAAAAGTGGGGGACTAATTGGTTGGAACAAAATTGTATATGAATAATTAATATCATAATTCTTACAACTCAATATTTATCTATATTAAACAAATTTGACCCAAAAATAATTTATTAATTTTAAAATCATAAGTTTAAATAATCTTATATTATGTCAATTTTAAAATAACATCTTAATTTTAAAATTTAACACCTTTTTTTTTGTAATAACTTAATTATCAAATTCAATACCTTTATTTTTTCATCATTGTAACACCAATGTAAACTAAAATCCACAAAATATCAACATAAATAAGATCTCATCAATAAATTATATAACAAATTACAAACTTAAAATTTTATCATAATTTATCAACAACCAAAACTGATTAATTCAAAACAATTCCAAAAACAAATACTCAATTAAATTTCAAATAATATAAATTTGAGTTTCCTAACATATTTACTAACAATTAAATATTTATCTCTATCAAACAAATTTGAAAAAAAATAATTTATTAATTTTAAAATCCTAAGTTCAAATAATCTTATATTATGCCAATTTTAAAATAACATTATCTTAATTTTAAAATTTAACATCCTATTTTTTCTAATAACTTAATTATTAAATTCAATACCTTTATTTGTTATCACTATAACACCAATCAATTATAAGAACCAAACCTAATTTATTAACAACCAAACTTAATTAATTCAAAATAATTTCAATAAAAAAATATACTCAATTAAATTTTAAATAACATAAATTTGAGTTTTCTAACATATTTACTAACAATTAAAAAATATAAAAATTGATAACAAATCGAATAGAGAGAGAGAGAGAGAGAGAGAGAGAAAGAAACTTACCTTTTTTGGAGAGAAATAAGTTATCAACACCGGGAGAGAGGATGGAGTGGGCAATCTATCGATTTTTGTTGGCGGGGAAGAAGAGGAAGAATGGAAACGATGGTTTAAAGATGGAGGGGAGGAAATATGGAGGAAGAAGAAGGGTCTCGCCATTTTTATGGATTTTAAATTGGAGAGGAAGAGTGATAATTGTTTAATTTTTAAAATTATTTAATTTTTTTTATAATTAGTGACATACATAATTCCATCACTAATAGTAAGTGTTTGTCGTTGTTTAAATTTTAAAATTGCATAAATATTCCTTATAATTAGTGATAGACATAATTTCGTCAATATATATATATATATATTCATTGCACATTTTTGCTTGTTGTTTTCGTTAAATCATCTCCCAAAATGTAGCTTAACATTAGCAATGGAAGAAACCATCATACCTAATATTCATCGTAACTTAGTTGGTATTTCTTCACTAAATTAACCAAAAAAAAAAAAATTTACCGCTTAATTCAATAATGGATGTCTTACATCATTGAATTTATGTCATTAATCGATCAATAGTTCGTCGCTATTAGCCTAAAATGTCAAGGGATTGATGATAGTCATTAATTATTTTCTAATCTGCCAATGTTTGTCTATAACTTCATGTTTGTTGCTAATTTCCTTTGCTATTCAGCTATTTTTTATAGTGAAATTGTTTTGATATTTTTTAGATGTCTATTAACTATTTACTTGTCTCTTTTAAATTGGATAACAATTTATGTGTGTTAGTCTTCATTAAATGCTTATAGGTTGTAATGATTTTTTTCTCACATGATTAGTCTAATCATCCATGGTGTGAGAGTTTTTACAAGATACCAAGTGTTTTGACTGCTATTAGACTCCTTTAATCCCATTTATCTTTGATCTTAGTGTTACATCTACCGAATGGGGATTAGTTTTTGTTGAATTGATGAGTCTTTTGGGGTGATGGTTTTCCCATTTATTTACATATATAGATAGCCTTGTGTTTTCTTATTCCTTTTAGTTTTTTTTTAAAAAAAAATTTCAAATAACTCTCTAGTTCTAGTTTCTTTTTCGAAAATTTTCAAATAACTCTCTAGTGGCAATTCTTTCTTTCGAATGAGTTTTTTAGTAGTTCTTTTTCTACACTTAGCAATATTTTTATAACTCTTTCAAGGAATAATGATAAACTTGAGGAGAGTAAAAGAAGTAGAGTGGGTTGCTCTTAATGCTCGAAGGGGTTAACCTTGTCGATAAAGGGGTAAAATCATATATTAGTGGGCCTAAAGTTCCACTAGGGATAAGGTTGGTTCCTCATCATGAGGATGATTGTAGGTGGTATCCATGGGTTATGAAGGAGGTCTAAGTACCATCTCTAGTAAGATTAGAGGCTATAGTGGTTCTCTTGCCCTATTAACGGGATGAGCACCAAGGCATATATTGGCTTTAAGAGGGCTTTGGAGACTAACGTACCTACTACAATGGTGGAGTATAGGGTGAGATGTTTCCTCGTAGATTTTTATGTCTCTTTCTTTTACTATCTTGGCATAATTTTAAATGGGTGAGCCACATTCATGGATTTTAATGATCTTTGTTTTGCTTTGGAAATTTCCCTATCTATGAGGCTATTTCTCCTTAATTTTTTTTCTTAAATCTAGAAGGAAAATAATGATAAATGATGGCTCGGATGTATACCCTTATTCCTAGAAACTTTAGCCCCTTTAATGAGTATTTATGGGTGGAGTTTCTTTTCATTGTGATTGAACGAAAAAGTGGTTTATTGTTCGCTATAAAGGATCGGTGCTCGAGGGAGACTAGGCTATGTGAGGGTGTTCTCCCTTGTAGAGTCATTTTAGGTCTAATAATAACTATGCCCTCTCTGTCTTGCCTAAAGAATACATTTTTTTTTTGTCAATTTAGGGGGTTGGCAAGTGCTTTTGACATTGACTAACTTGTCCGTACTAATACTTTGGACTAATGCTTGTGGGATAATTTCATTAACTTTTTTGTTTTGTTTAACCACTTATTGCTTAGTTTTTAACATTTTTCTTTTTATGGCAATTAATCCTTTAGCCTATCCTCTTTAAGATGTTGTCCCCGGAAGAACTTCTAGTAGTGTTGAGATTTCTATTCCTCTTAGGCTAGTTGTTATTAGCAAGTTAGGTTTAGGAGGTGCCCAAACTTGGATGAGAAAAAAAAAGAACTATTTTTTTCTTCTCCTATAACTTTGACGGACACTTCTTCAAAACGTGATTTGAATTCTCTTCCTATTCTTGACCCTATTCTTTTAGCTCATATTTTTAATAAGGTGGTCATTACCTCTACAATAATGATTGTTTCTTTTCTACCCTTAGAGGATATTCCCTTAGTTGATAAGGATGTCTTTCCTCGTAGATACTCAAGAAAGAAGGTTGTGGTTAACTCTATTATTCCTCAAGATTCAATTAAGATCGGGTGCTCCACTTGTTACTATAGGTTCGAGGAATGCCCCTTCTTTAACGAAGACCATTTTTAGAGATTATTCCACCTTATAGGATAAAAATGGAGAGGACGCTAGTTCATCATTTGGGGTTAGCTTCTTTGCTTCTTATAAATGTTTCATCCATGGGTAAGCTTTTTTTTAGAGGCAACATGAGAAGAGGAATGTAACTATCTTTAGTTGTAAGAATATCTTCTTCTTTTTTAATCCTAATTTTTTTTTCAATTGTTTGACATAATTCCTTCTATAGGTATTTCGGGCATATGCTTATGGGCTTCAAAGGCTGGAAGTTCTAGAGAGGGAGTGTACTACTATGGAAAATCACATAAGAGAGTTAAGGAATTCTCTCGAGGTTGTACTTTCTAAGTGAGAGAAGTTACTGTCTATGAATGTTCTATAACATAGGAAAGGGATGATACTTTGGTGAGGCTTCATTATTTGAAGTAAATTAGAGATCATTTTAGGGAGTTTTATGTTTATTTTAAGGACTCACTCAAGTTTTTTCAAGCTAGAGATTACCGGTTATTTATAAAAATGGTGGATCTTTACTTCTTTAACAAGGCAAAAATGATTCATATTAATTTTTATAACTCTTCCGACGGGGATATTATTCCTAACTTTGATACTCTATTCTTAGCAAGGGCTTTAATTGTTAGGAAAGGCCAATTCATTGGTCATCAACTCTGTTGGTTTCCTTACCTCCGAGTGAACTTTTTAGGGGTAATAAAGAATTAGACTCTTTTTTTGTTCCTTCTTTAGAAGATATCACATCAAATGTCTTGTACTTTTTTTTTTATCTTGGAAACTTCGATGATCTTATGGGCCTAGATGTTTGTCATAGGGCGACATTAATGCGAAGTGGCAATTTTGGAAAATAGGAAATGGGTAAAAAATAATGGAGTCACCACCTAGTATTATGGTTGTTAGAAAACCATATGGCTAGTACTGTTCAAAGTTTTTAGGTGAGGGGTTTGTTACGTGTAGGAAAGATTAAAAATCACACTACCTCGTTCTACCTAAGGCAAGCTACATTGTATAGAAATCGACTTAATTTTTTATTTTTATAATAAAAACCTATGCCTATTCCTAAATTTTTGCCAATCAAATGTGTGATTCATGACTTGATCAATCAAAGGTCTTATCCTCACTACGAGACATAATAAATGTAAATCTATAAAAATTACATTAAAACTCACCCAATAGATATGAAAAAAGTATATAATAAAAAGATGGAAAAAATATTCGAAAACAACACTCGGATCGACAAGACTTCAAATTCAAATTTTTTTAAGCAAAATTGGCAAAGTCATCAAAATTGACAAAAACAATCGAAAATGGTGTTCAACTCCAAATGTCGTGATTTTCAAACGCATAGGAAATAAATTTGGCAAGTGAAATTGGCATTTTAGGCAATGTCAGCAAGAATGGTTTGAACCAAGGTGTAGAATCACAAGACTTTAAAGTCATATTTTTCAATAAGACGTTTTAGACAAAATCAACAAAAATGCTCCAACTAAAGATTCAGACTAATACAACTTAAACATAATATTTTTTAATCAAATTAATGGCAATATCAAACTAATATTATATTGGTAAAAATGATCTAAAAATAAGGTTTGGACCAATATGATTACAAATGCCATGACTTTCACAAAAAAAAAAATCATTGAGCAAATTAATGCATCCGAGTTAATGATTTTTAAGCAACAAAGAAATCTTTTGTCATCAATGTAAAAGTGACGTAATCGAGCATACACAATCCAATCATACATAGATAACAATAAAGATAATTATAGAATAATCAATCCCTTTATCCTAACTCGATATTACCCGAGATCTTTGACCTTTTTGGAAGGCTTGATACACTATAATGTATCTTAAATATTTCAATCAACTAATCACACAATCACATAATTAGTTTAATTAATTTATAGTCATAACAATATAAATTAAATTTAATAATTAAGAATAAATTAATTGCTCAAAAAAATGCAAAAAGGCCAAAGAAATTTTTGAAACTATTAAAATAAGGTTAGTTTTAACCTTTTCAAACTCGATGGAGACTAATTATTCGATCAACTAGGAATAAAGAATGGCTATCTCGTTGCTAGATCTAGATCCTATGTGAAGTGAGGTGATTATTGATGATCGAATCACGGCTAGATGGTTGGTGGTGGCTAATGGTGATTGGATCGGTGGTTGGACAATTGGCGATGGCTACCGGTGATTGAATTAGAGGTTGATTGAAGAAGGTAGCACGTGTAATGCTACTCGGATCGAGTGGAAGGACGTCGGTGATAAGGGTTATGGCTTGATCGAGAGATGATGGCTATTGTTAATCTAAATTGGATGGTGGAGCTACTAGATCGGGTGGTGACATCGACTATTACATACGGATTGATTGAATCGGGTTATAGAGGAGGTGATTGGTGAATAGACTCCACGATCGGGCTATTGCTTATCTAGATTGAATGGTGGCTATCATGGGGCTACTATAGCTTTGAGTAGAGAGGACGATGGCTACCGGTAACTATGCTTGAAGTGAATGTCTTGGTTAGAGATCGATAGTGGTCGGAGGCAAGTTTGTGGCAGATCAAAAAATTTTTTTAGGAGATGAGTAATTGATTGGCTTCTCTAGAAAGAAAGAGTAAGCTGAAAGTTTTTCTAGAGAGAGTCCGGTGAGGGGTGAAAAAAAAAGGATTTTTACACAAATTTTTTAAGGTTTTTAGCTAAAGTTTAATTTGGTCCCTTTTCCTGTAGGCTTATTTTATTTTGGTCTCTTTCTTTTTGTTTTCTTTTGATTACATCCTTAGATTGAGCTTTACAATCCTTTTTTCTTTTTTTTCTTTTTTTTTTGTTTTTTCCAATTTTGTATTTTTGATTTTGGGAGAACAATTTAGGTGTAAACAATGTTCATGCTCATGCTCGTTTTTTGTTCATGTTCTTATTTTTCCACCTCAAAGGCTATTTGTGAGCTCTTTTGAGGTTTTTAGAGGGAATGAAATGGATTTTGTTGGGATAGATTAGGGTTTAGGAACTTTTGTTTTTGGGTAATGATCCTAGCCTTTGTTGGATCAAGACTTGTCTTTATTTGTGAAAATTAAAGTTTTTTCTAGTCGTAATTTTTTTTTTTGTTTCATGGGATCTAATGTCTCGATGATTTATTTAGGTCAGGATCTTACATTGTTATGATTGATTTTGGCAAGACCTTTGGCTGATGTTTACCTTTTTTTAGGTTTTTGTCCTTTACTCTTTTAGGTTAGGTGGCAAGTAAGGAGAATTTTGAATTTTTGGACCAATATTGTTGCAATGATTAAGCTATCTTTTTTTTTTCCTTGCTTTTGAATATCTTTGAACCTAGGTAAGTGTTTTTCTTTAGGTAATAATCCTATCTTGAAGATACATTTTGGTCCTTAGAAAAGTTTGTGGAGCCTTTAGCCCTAAATAAGGTAGTTTTCCACGAGCTTTATTCATCCTTAGAAAGTTAATCATGAGCTTATGTTTTCTTGGATTGTCATTTTACATTTATTGGTGATCTTTTGTGATCTTAATCTATTAGCTTAAATGTTTTTCTTGATGATAAATTGAATTTTTTTTCACTCTTCGAGAATCCCTTTTTTGTTAGATGAAATTTTTTTGCTCTTTTAATAGGGTTAGGATTTCATTCTATTAGCGATTCATAGTGTCTTTAGACTTAGGTAAGGTAGTTTACTATGAATTTTGAAATTTTTAAACTCGTAGAGCTTTTTTGGGTATCGAGATTGTTTCTTCTTAACTTGGGATATTTTATGTTTGGGCCCTAGGTGAGATTTCAATTCTAAAAAATGTTACTAAAGTCTACATACCTAGGTAAGATAGTTTTTCATGTTTCTTATATGACTTTTGACTCACTTAGTGCCAGCTTTGTTGTAGAAAAGCTTTAGTTTAACACGTTTTTGACTTAGTAGATAGTGAACTCGATTCTAAGAGGCATAGATTTTGGTTCCTAAGAAGGTAATGGTGTCGTTAAACTTGTGCATGGTTTTTCCTTCGTGATCTTTATATAGCCATAGTAACTTACTCATTTATAAATCTTTAAACTTAGGTAGGATGGATTTGACGCTAACTTTGGTTGGAAGAGAGATTTTGGTCTATAGAAAGGTTTATAGAGCTTTTAGACCTAAACAAAGTAGTTTTCCTCGATCCTTATGCGGACTTAAAGACTTACTCATTCTCAATCATAGTGGTTGAGAACCTTCTCTTTCTTTAAATGCTTTTAAATGGATGAGGATGATTCCGAACTCCAAAAAATGGAGATTTTGGTTCCTACAAAGGTCATGATGCTTTTAAAGCCGTGTAGGATTTTTCTTTCCATAATCCTTATGCAGCCCTATAAACTTACACACTTGTAGATCTTCAAACTTGGGTAGGATCAACTTGTTACTAACCTTGGTTGGAAAAGAGATTTTGGTCACTAAGAAGGTTCGTGGAGCCTTTAGACCTAGACAAGGTAGTTTTCCACTATGTTTATATAAATCTAAGGACTTACTCATTCTTCATCATGTGTATTTAAATTTTTATCGAGGTGGATTTGGTACCTATACCTCCTCATGAGGTAATTTTTGCTTTATTAAGTTTTTTTTTTTGTATTTTAATATTACGGTATGGTCATGTCTTATATCAAGTGAAAGGTTTTATCAATAATCATATTTTATTATTTATATAAAGGTTTGTTATTGATAAATGCATAATTTATATAACTTTTATACTCTTTTACATTAAACTTTGTAGTACTTATTATATTATATTTAGAAAATTAAGATCAAGATAATAATTTCAAATTTTATAGGAAAAATGAAAAATCAAAGCAAAGAAACCCAAGCCCAAACAAAAAGAAGCCAAAGTCACCAAAAAAAGCTTAGAAGACACATGGTAGTGTGTATTACAAAGGGAAATAGCTATTGGTCATGTGAAACAAAAGAGAAAATCGTGTGGTTATCTAGTAACAAATACCACATAAGTAATAGCATTTCACAAAATGAAGGGGAGAAAAGTGACACGATTGTACATGTGTCAAGGCTAAGTTATCTTCTAAGAGGAAAGAAATAACACACGGGTATTAGCATTCCACATGGTATGCACCGAAGAAGAGATACATGTGTGTGTGTGTCAAAGTTAAAAAAAAAATTAAAAGAATGAGGCACACAGGCGTAATAAAATGACAAGGGATAAAAGCAAAATTCTACATAGGCATATGCTAGAGACATGAGATGAGCAAAAAAAAGACATAAGATAGAGTGCAAAAGGCACATGATCGTGTGCCTCTATCCAACAAACCATGCAACACCAACTCTCTAAGGCTCCAAATTGTGTGAGATAAAATAGCAAATCATATGCCTTTACTAAGCAACTCGTGTGGCTATATGGAACCGGCATGTATGTGTTGTAACTTTATTTTTAGCTATAAATAGTGAGACTAGGTTTTTATTTTAGGATTCCCACTTTGGAAACCACCCTTAGATAGAAAATTCTCTTGTAATTAGCCATGAATTACTAAATATCTATCTTGGTTGAAAGAAAGTTGATACTTTTGGTAAAATCATTATGAAATCTTAATAGGTTCTAATTCTAAACTTATTCTTTTTTAGCATTTTATGTTTTTCTATCTTATTTGGTTATGATTGTATGATTAATTAATTATAATGCACGTTAGTTTTTTTATCATTGTAATCTATTATTAGCTAAGTATTCAAGTCTAGGTAATTGCTTATCTAAACTTGCTTGTAGTAGTAACTAGAGGTTAATAATAATAAATGCGTTTCCATTTAATCCCTTGAAAAACATAAAACTAGATTCTATCTTTCTAGCATCTAAAAGGATGGTTTAGCTCCACTTGTCTTTTTTTATTTAATGTTGTCATTGGATTAAATCTAGCTAGCGTTTAGTAGGTTGTTTAATAGATAGGGATTAATCAAATAACATCCGTTTGGCTAACAAATCGGTAAGGAAAGATTGGAGGCAACATATATGTTGTTATCTTATGGTGAATATTCATGTCAATAATAGGTTAATATTTAAATCAATGATCAACCATTGAACCAAAAATAGATACTAAACTTTAACTAAGGTTTTTTCTCATTATTATCAATTTTATTTACTTTTGATTGCTTAAATATCATAACAAAGATAAACCTTTTTTTACTTCCTTTGCACTATAGAACAATCGACCAATAAAAGCCTTTGATTAGGCCACTTTCGTATAGGTTTGACCTTTATTTACCCTTTCTACACCCCTGTGGTTAGGTTACTATGAGGAAAATATAAATACAAACTAATTTATTGGCAATACAAAATGCCATAAAAATTTTAATATCCTCATACTTAAACTTTGCTAGTCCTTAAGCAAAACAAATAAAAAAAAAACCTAACTCACTTTCATAAAAATCATAATTACATTTAACATATGCAACAAGCCTTTAAATTTCTAAGTTACCCCTAGTGGATGAGTTGTCTTCTAAGGGTTTTCGGATGATAAACCCATAAAATCGCTTAAATGAATGTCATGCCGGTACGATTATCCTTCAAATATTAGTGCTCAATTCGAAACTCAACAAAATCAAATAGTTAAATCAATCATATTCAAGATATTATTCTCATATCTATGCATGTCTCTAAATTAATTTATGCATCTTTATAACCAATCATAATTTAAGTATGTAACACTTATTTTGCCCTTGTCCTTTTTCCACTAATATAAGCAAAAGTAATAAATCAAGATTTTCCTTGATCAAAATTTTTCTTCCTTTGGCATCTTAATCTTTTTCAAGGCCTTTAATAGTTCTTTTCTAAGTAATCACTTATCTTTTTATGTGACTACCGACATTTATTATGAAGGCAATCGGTTACTTAACACGTCGTAAACTTAGAGTACTTTGTATACTCATAATTTAAGTTATTTTTAACATAAAAGTAAACATTTATGATAAATACTCCTAGTTACTAAACAACTCAAATCATTGGAGTAGATTTTTGCTCAATTAGGTCAAATTTTCCAATTAGAATGCTTTCTATTTCATTTGTTTTTCAAATATCTCTAATAGGTAGAAAATCTCATTTATTTAAATAATATTTAGGTCTATCTTGAAAAAGTACTTACAAAATCAATATTTCTACCAAAATCATACTCAATCATAAAAACACATAAAGTTTTCTAGCATGTATACACTTCTATAACAATAATATCCAAAACAATCTCAATTATCTCATCAAATTTTATTTAAATTTATCATCAATCATTAATCAAGAAGGACATCATACTAAATCATGGCATTCACTATCATTTTTTTT